AATAATTTCAAAACCAGATTAAATTTGATGTATATTTGACTGATTGGCTAGATTGTTCCACGCAGTATAGGGTTGTTCTGTATCTGTATCCTATAACTGCCATAGGAAGTAACTCCATTTTTAGTATTACAACTGTTTTTCCTTTTGTATCCAACATATTGACTATTCTTCAGGCTTCCAAGCCTGCCATTTGTAATTTGTGAATTGATGTGTGTGATTGTGTTGGTGACTATTTGGCTTGTCAAAATATTTTTTTCCTCAGCATAAGCAGCTGTTTAGTATTAAAACTAAAATTACATCATATCAATAAGTGTAAGCAATTATTTGCCAGATTCCAAGCATCTCTCTGGCTGTGCCTAGGAGTAGAAAGACCATCTGGCTGAGTAACTGGGATTGTAGTGGGATTGTAGTGGGAAAGAGTGATGTATTATGCCATGACCCGTCATGGCATGTCATGCGATAACCATGATGAGAAAATGAAATATGTTTAGAGGGAGGTGGAACATCGTGCAGTTACAATTATGGCAGAGCCTAAAGCAATGGTCTATTTATTATTTGAAAATTTGGAGTGTGTTGTTATGTCCATGCACCGAGCAATTTTCAGATGGCCCTGATTTTCCTTAGACCCCCAGTGAAACATTGACACTTTACTACACCATCTTCTGTATTTTTTCAGATTGACAGTAAATGGCATTGAGAGAAGTAGAAAAATAGTAACTGTTCTCTGAAATAACTTAAATTGTTTTTCTAGGGCTACATAAACAGAACTTCAGGTTTTTCTTGACGTTGTCTCCATTATTTCAGACTACGCTCCATTTATTTTTGCCGATCTTCTCCATTCGTCCATTATTATATGGTAAAATGATGTGGCTGCATAAAAAGTCAGGGGGTTTTGCTTGAAGACATTTTCTTGTAGGAAGATTCTACTGTTTTCAGTGTATAATCTACTGAAGGTTTAAGCAGTATTTTGCTCAAAGTTTTTATTTAAGCTAGATATTGATGATAATAGATGATAGTCTTTTCTTCTACAGGTAATAGCTATGTGGGGAAAATACTATTTAATCATATTTTGAAATTGTTGTTAGCAGCTATATACTTAATCTAGCTTGGGCTCATTATTATTAAAAAAAATCACTACTATGTTCAAAACCGTAATTATGGAGAGAGAGGCTGGCGGGGAAGGTGTTTTATGGGTTTTTAATATTTTAATCTCCACAACAATGTATTAATTCTGTTATATTATTACTAGTGTAAGCATTCAGAATTTTTCATAATTGTGACTTCTTCCTTCTACTACTTCCTGGAATGAATAATATATAGGGAAACCTAAATCTTACTTTTATTTACATTGGTATCCGCATGATGATTCTTGTAATCTTCTCACCTTTCATCTAAAGAAGGTTATGGATCTAATTCTCACGCATAAACCTGAAGTCTTATTAAATCCTATCAAGGTCACTCAGACTGCAGGGTGAATTGCTGCTGCATATTTAGAAGATCTGTAGCTTTGAACAGATGTTAAGTCAAAGTCCCTTTGGTCCATAGTAATCATAATGCTTAGCACATATATAGCAACTATAGTTACTGTCTACATGAAACATAAAATTCCTGTCACCATGATTTTTTTTCAGTAGGAAAAGCAGAATACCTACTATTCTTTCCATCATTTTCTTTGCAAAAAGAAAAATTCATATCAGCAACTGAAAGTTCTTAAGCATATACACAAAGCCTAAAGTAGCAAATTCAATTACACTGAAATAGATTTGGTCTGTCTTAAATATGAAAGGTGCTATATACAGCCATATTCCATTCTGCTATTCTTACTCTGTTTTATATTGTGTGGGTCTTTCCTCTTTAAACTGTTGGGGAAAAAAGAATACCTATTACACACTATACAATAAATCTAAATTACACACAGAGGTAAGATTCTCAAATTCTGTTTAATGGGAAGACAGCTAGACACTGAAAATAGAGGGACAAGTGTTGTTAGTAGAAAGGGTATTTGGAAATCTCCTTTTCCCTGATTGCAAAGCCAATGTAGCAGGCACTAGTCTCAGTGATACCACCTGGTGACCACTCAGCCCCTGCTCTGGCCTCGCTTCTCAGGCTTGCACCCCTTTACATTTCCTGCCACACCTTGGAAAGGGAGGCTGCCTAGGGAACTGATCCCATATTGCACTCTGATCCCATGTCCCACTCTGCACCTTAAGGGCTTATCACATGGCTCCAATTGCACCTTACACCATGCCCATGCCTCACAGATGTTACCATTCAATCTGCTCTGCCCTGCTCCTAGGCCTGAGCCCTCTCTGGCTCCTGTGTCTGCCCTCTCCCAGGCCTATTGAGACCACCTCTTAGGTCTCAATCCCTAAACCACCAGAACCTACATCAGTCTTAAACCTTCCATTAACCCCTGGGAGTGCAGAGTCTCCCTTTGTCTTCCACTTGCTCAAGAGTTTATTCCATGTCAGCAGCCAGGGTGAGACTGCCTGCCCCAGCTCTGGTCCTGGTCTTATCTTCCAGTTAAGCCCCGCTCCTTTCTGGTCATGTTTCCCCCTGCCTGCTGACTTAGCTCCTTAAAGTAAAAAGCATGCCAAGCTCCTGTTACAGCCAACTAATCTGTATGCTTGGGTTCTTTTATTTTAACTCTGAAACTCCGTCCAATGTTCAAGACTACAGATCTACAGTTCAAACTACACTAACATTGACTATTTTAATGTTGTTATGCATTAGCATTGTATTCAACATCCAGTAGTTCCAATCAAGACTGGGGCCCTATTATGCTAGATCCTCTACAAACATGCAGGTTTTAGCTTACCTTTGAGAAATTTTGCAATTGATAGTCCTTGGTCTTGTTGCGTCTTGGCACAGATTTATTTGCAAACAAGAGAGGGTCAAGGACAAAAAGGATAGAAAGGGAAGGGAGAGAGTGCAAGGAAGATAAAAGTAAGTGTTTGCAACTTACATAATTAAACCATTATGCAATTTGAAATTGTGTTTCTTTTCTTTTCTTTTCTTTTACGTACATCAACTGTCCTCAACTGATACACAGTGGGGACATCTACACACAATGCTAAATCAGCAATAGAGTAATTCTACTGCATATTAGTGCATCAGGGAAAAAGTTGTGCTAATGTGCAATAGAATTAGTCTACTGCATACTAGCATCACAAAAAAAACTATGTACTGGTGCTAGTGAGCAGTGACACCAGTTACTGCATATTCAGTTAATACCTGTTATTACAGGTATTAAACTGGTACTAAACTGAATGTGCAGTAATTACGACACACTAATGAGCATGTAGATGTGCCCAATGGATTGTTTAATTGACTAGGTTTTGTAGTAAAATAGTTGTTTGAACTGGTGTGGGGGGAGGTTATTGCTGATTTCTCCCCAAATTATACTGATATGGTCTTTTTCTAAGACCTGAGAGCAGAGAGGGTAAGGAGGAAAATATTAGGGGTGTGTGAAATGGTCCATATTTGATTAAGATTCACCCTGAATTTGGGGCAGTGATTCAATTTGTTGATTCAGATCACTGTCCAGATTCGATTTGGTTGAATCCAAATCTCATGATTCGATGCTGATTTGGAGAATCAGCAATTTGGCCATAGACACAGCTTTAAATGTTTTTTCTACATACCTCAAGGTACCAGGTGTGTCTCTTGAACGCTCAATGGTGGGGCAGATGGAGCATCCCAGAGGAGCGTGGGCGGGGTGGGGGGGGCGCTACATGCTTGGTGGCGAACCCGGAAGTGGACCAGCAGTACTTCTTGTCCACTTCCAGGCCCGCCACCGAGCCCGCCCCACCCCCCCCCCGGAGTGCAGCCGCCCCCCCCCCCCCGCACCTCCCTGGCTTAGCAATCTGCTGCAGGGGGACCCTGGGTGCCTCCCCAGACCCAGGAAGCACCAGTCATTGAGCTGGGGGTGAGGGGGGTCCCCCACATGCTCCCCAGCAGACCCAAAAGTGGACCAGAAGTGCTTCTGGTCCAATTCTGGGTCTGCTGTTGAGCACACTGGGGATCCCTCCATGCTCCTGTGGGATGCTCCATCCACCCCATCATTTCAACATTCATGAGCTGCCTGGTACCTTGAGGTATGTAGAAAAAAAAATTAAAGCTGTGTCTATGTCCAAATCATCAAATCTTTCTGACTCTCTCCAAATTGATTCGGAGGGTTCCAATTTGATTTAGACAGATTAAAGGGTCTCCTGATTCTATTCAGAGATTCAGCCACTGAATCAGGCCAAATCTCTGCTGAATCAAATCGGCGACCACAGCCCTAGAGAATATGCAGCACACCCACTGAAGGTTCAACGTGGCCAAAGTTCCAAAAGGAGCTGGTTATCCAAGAGGATTCTTTTGTTAAAATGTGTGCCTTTCTACTATCCTTCTGTTCTTACTTACCTGTTAGTAGTCAAAATTCTTTTTTGTCCTTGCTCAAGCATTGAAAACCATGGACTGTGTAGTTTTCTAAACATACTTTTTAAGAGAGGTTTGTCAATTCCCCAGCCACTGGAGTAGGACTTGAGGTCTGCCACTGCTTTTATGTGCTGACTTGTAAGGCTTACCAGTCAGTGTGGCAAGTCACTGTTGGGAGAGCAATTTGTCATTGTTCTATCCCTGGGTCCCCCTTTAATCTTATAGCTATGGTTATACCTTTTTTTCTAAACATGTTTTCTTTAGATGTGCATTGGTAGGGGTGACAGAATGACCTGCTGCTGAACAGTTAAACAAAGCAGTGCTATATTTTAGTTTTGGCAAACAATTTTAAACTAAAATGCAACATGTGTAATATTCAATAAAGTATAACTTGTTCACTGATGCTTAAAAATGTTCTCATTTCTTGCATTTGTTAAATAAAGTACTATTGATTTGCCTGTCTCCATGTCAGTTGTCCTTACTATGCTGAACAGAGGGAAATTTAATCTGATAAACTGATCAGAAAAACACAGTTCAAAAGAAAAAGTTAGCATCCAGTGCTACTGTGTGTCCCACAGGTTCTTCCACTTTGAACAAAACTGCCTCCACTGGTGAGTTAGAGGAGCGTATTGCGACTTCTACTGGTGCTATTACTGTTGCTAGAACATCTGCTGATGTTACTGTATCCAGTGTTACTGATGGCACCAACCATAGACTTTCCGAAGAGCAGCGAGTGCAAGCTACGAATATCAGAAAATCGATTCTGGAACCCACCACTTTCAATGAAGCGCTCTCCCTTCATCAAGCAGACATACAAAGTACAGGACGACGACCAAGAAATGCTGAGCAGATAGAAAGAACTAAAGAACTTGCAGTTGTTACTCATAGAGGTATTGGATGTTATTTTACTTGTGCCCATTTAGTTACAGACAGATATTTCAGACAAAGTAATGGTGAAAGGTCAGTTACAGAATGAGACAGTTAAAGTAGGTCAGGTAGTAGAAACTGAAATATAGAAATTAAATCAAATTAAGACTGAAGAAAGGAAAATGTGTACTTTGGGATCTAGTGGGCAGACAAAAGGAAAATAAAATGTAAATAATAATTGATATAAGAGACAGTTCATTTATAGAAAGGAAAAGTAGATAGAAAAATATAGGAACTGATCCACTTCTCACTTACTCTAATTTAATTTTATTTATTCTATCTCCTGATTTACCATAGTTGAAGTGAAAGCAGATACGGTTTAGAAAAAAATGAGATAAAAATTAAATTGAACACTAGTACTGTAAATTGTTGAAATATGACCAGTCTTGACATCAAACCTATACATTACAAGAAGCTGTGGTCTCCAAAAAATATCCCTGATGATATCAGACCTACCCATATATATAATAATAATATTAGTTTGGCTTGGTTGAAATATCTATGTTTCTTCTCTGCCAAAAATGTTAATAAATGAAGCAAAGGATGTCAAATGCTAATAACAGATCAAATCTAACATCCCCCTATATCCGAATGACTCATTTTATGTAGGGAACCACTGAGAATGAGTAGTAGTTGGAGTATAAACAAAACAATTTGTCTAGTTAAAAGGTACCTAAGACAGTGCTTGAAAGTATAGATTAGGAAATAAACATAATTTAATTACTTCAATTTAATCTGAAGAGATGTACAAATAAAGAATAAATGTTTATTATTTTATTATTTCATGCCAAATTCCTGGTAGGATCTGGTCAATTTTATGCTAAATATGTATTACAGATCTGCATATATAATATATAATATGGTGATCTGTAATTTCACATATGAATGTAGGCAAGAATTATATGTTATATCCCATGTGCTTACAGAACAACTCAATGTGTATAACAAATAATTTCTATCAATGTGGTCAAATAGTTGATATTTTGCTGAGGAATTCTAGCCTGAAATCTACCACAACACACAGGGTCAAATGCTCAGTTAGTATAAACTAAAGTAGCTGCAGTTGCTTCAGTAACACTAAATGTATCTACACTACCTGTGGTTCTAGCCCTCCAATGCTGAAAGACATTCTGTACTCATGATTAGAGTATTTGATAAAATGTAAGGAATGGGTATTTCTTGTCAATTGAATTATAGCATAAAGTTAATTGTTAAATACAGAAAGCCACAGCCCATTCATTCGTATTTACATGGGTGTGAAACTGAAGTAATTTCAGGGAATTTCCTGGTGTGAATGAGTATAATTAGCCACAGTGGCTATGTACAAGTTTACTTGAAAACATCATTGGCCAAAAAAGAAAGGGTGAAAAAGGGTGAAAATCAAATCAAGAAACGGTACTCAAGAGGATGATCAGTCTATTATTTACAGAAGTATTTGCTGTAACAAATGTTGAGCATAGCAATTCTGAAGTTATATATATGCAATTCACTTTACCCACTGTATGTAATCACTACATGATAGAATGTCCTTCCTACATCTCTTTCACTGTCTTTCCTTCTCCAACCTTTACTTTTGAGCTATCACATCTTTAAAGAGCATTTAAATTATGTATTATATTATCTTACTGTGTTAAACGCCCCTGAAACTTATCTAAACCAGTTTTGAAACAGATAAGCTAAGTACCATCTCTTTATTTAGATAATATTAGATAATAAAATATATTCTTATATAATTTAATTTAAAGCAATGACAAATAGCTCTTTTTAGGATTGGGCCCCCACTGTACTGGGCATGTACAGATAAAATTGGTCACTGCCCTAAAGCATTTACTAAATAGCCAAAACTTTTTTCCTTTTTTTTATGTGCAGAGAGGTTCAGTTAGTGATAGGCAGTCTTCTGCTTCTGCCCATGTTAAAGGATGTCCTTTAACTTTCTGCTAAAGTCTTCTGCTTTAGCCCATGTTAAAGGATCTTGGTTCCTCTGGCATGCTTTTCTAATATGTTAGTGTATAGCATTCAATACATACCTGAAGAAAATCATAATAATGTATCAACATATTCATTAAATTTTCTAGGTTTTTCTCTTTGGCTGATGACTTTCCACAAAACAGGAAGTGTAGTTCATTACATGTTTATGTTATTTAGTGATAGAGGCTGGATATATATATCATGTTCACATATCAGTTTTAATTTGTTAATAGACATATACAGAGCATAGACATGTGAGATCCATCATGATGGAATAAACAATAGCATTCTTGTGCTTATCTCAAAGATATAACCAAAAACTTTTGAGGAAAAGTAAGGAACTAAACCTTCATGCGTTTTGTCACAAGCCAACAGTAATAGATGGGTAAGTTATTCTATAACTCTTCCCTATGAAGTATCCTGTACCTTCCACTCAGATATTTGATGGTAGCCAGAGGATATGGGACTAAATGGGCCACTCAAGTAGTCCTGCATTGTAATTCTTCCTTCACATGAAACTGCTTAGAAAGAACCTATCAATAAAGCTGTGTGATTTTCCTTTGATACCTCATTCTTGTTTGACAGACGTTAACCAAAGTTAGTTCCTCTGCAGTAAATGGTAATATTCTCTATTACTGGAGGTAATTCAAGTGAAAAATTATGTTCCTGATTCAAAAAACTATGCAACAGTGATACACAGTTAGTAAAGTAAAACTTAAATACTCATTCTCAGAATGGGTATTTCAAACTGTGATTATATACTCCAGTAAAGTGCAAAGTACATTTCCCTGCCTCTGGCCTGACATCAATACTGGGATCGTGACCATCTGTTGCTTAAATAAGAGGGACTGACAGGAAGAACATTTCCTGGTAGTTAATGATCAAATAGAATTTATCTATTTTTTACCTTTCTCCCATTAAGGCATTATTGTGAGTTACATATAGTCTGGTGTTTATGTAATTGGTAGTGCTCAAAAACAATAAAATGTAAAGGTAATCCTTCAGAGATGAATTCAATGAGAACTTTGTTATTGGCAATAGTAGGATCAAACCTTTCAAGACAGTTGATATTTGGCTTTAGACTGTTATTGATACTGAATGCTAGGTAGAGTAAAAGGGGTTTATCATGGTCTTCAAGAGCTTTGTTTATATGATTAAGGATTTTCAGGATCAGGACCTAAATCTGTAACAATATTGTTAGAATATGGGGTTTTTGTTTGTTTGTTTGTTTTTTTTTCCTTATATATATAACTAACTTTTCCACAAGAGGACATTCAGTAGATCTAATCTATCTGGGATTCAGTAAAGTATTGACACTATTGCATGTAAGGAACCATTTGTTGAACTGTAGAAATGAAAGATTAGTTCAAGAATTATTTGAGGCATGGGGAAGCTCAAGGAGAGATAAAAATGGGTCTTTCTAAAAGAGAAAGTATGGAAATTCTCCAAGAGTGGAATCTTATTAAATAATTTCATTAATGCATTTGGCACAAAAAGTAGGAATGTGGTAATGAAATTTGATGATGGCACCAATTTGGGAGGTTATCATCAATACAGAATAGGATGGGATATCATTCAGGAAGAATCGGATGACCTTGAGGTCTAGAGTAATAGAAATGGAATTAAATTAAATAGTATTAGCTGCCAGGTCATGTGCTTAGGAGTTAATAGTGAGAACGTCTGCTGTAAACCTAGGAACTCATCAGTTAGAAATTCCAGAAGTGGGTAAAGACCTAGGTGTCAATCACAGAATGATTAGGGGTCATCAATATGATGCAGGTATGAAAAGAGCAAATGCAATCATAGGATATATCAGGCGGGGTATTATGATCAAAGATAGGAAAGTATTGATGTCATCATATGAGGCATTAATGTGGTCTTATCTGGAACATAATGTACAATTCTGGTCCCCCATTTTACAGAATGATAGAAGAGATCTCAAGAGAACATCTAACCCATCCTGAGGCAGAATTCATTTACCTAAATCATTTCTAACCAATGTTGTCTAAACTGATCTTAAAAACCTCTGAATATGGAAATTCCACAAGCTCATAAGATAACTTCCGTAGGAAGGTGAACTCAGAGTAGAACAAGTTAATAGAAAGAATACAAGCACGGTCAGGAAAATATAGAATCTATTTAATGAGAGAAGATTGAAAGAGCATTGCTTGTTTAACCAAGAAAACCAAGAAAGCAATCTAGGAATACATTAAGGGGCTAAACATAAGTGACAGAAAACAATGCGTTTAGTCTGAAAGGCAAGGTAGGCAAGGTAAGAACAAATAGGTATGAAATGGCTGTCGGAAAAAAAAATAGGCTGGAAATTTAAAAGAGGGTTTCTATCCATTAGAGCGGTGGGGTTCTAGAAGAACCTTGCTTTAGGAGTAGATAGAGCAAATAACCCTAACTATTTTCTAATGGAGCTTGATCGGTTAATGAAAACAAATATATGATGTGGGGGTCAGTGATAACAGGGGAATGGACTAACTCAGGAGGTCCCCACCAATCCTACGTGCCTGTGGAATAATGAAGTTGGGCTTAGAAAAATGGACCTGTCTTCTTTCCCCTGGACTGTAGTAGCTTGAAGCACTAAATCACTAATGCTCAGTAGAGCTTCTTAAGGACAAAGCAATACAGTATCTTAAATATTTTGTTTTCCTCAGGTGCCGAAGAATCAGAAAATCACTAATCAAATTTATTCCTACTCCCTGTAAGTAATTTAATTAAATGCTTAGAATTTGGTCATAAGCAAAAAAGGGTTTTTGGGTAAATCTGATATCTTTTATTAGACCAACTCAGATAGTTGGAAAAATTATTCTTAGCAAGCTTTCAGGTTTAAATACCCTTCATCAGGCTGAGGAGGCATCTACAATTTGTGTGTGCTCCAAGATGAATTCCATTCAGGAAGAACACACACCAACTGTAGATGAGTCCTCAGCCTGATGGAGGCTATTTAAACCCAAAAGCTTGCTAAGAAGAACTTTTCCATCTATTT